AACTCCGGTACCCATTTAAAAAATGGGGTACTGTACCTATCATGCATTTGATTGGTTCAAACCATTAAATACCTTTTAATTTAGATTTAAATAATTCAACTGCATGATTCTGATTGGTCCATGTGGACAAAGGTACGATACCTTATGGGTACCATAGAATCTACCTTAAATAAAAGGTCCTTAAAGTACGAAATTTGCATTTTTATCCTTTAGTTATAGCTTTAATTTACTCTTTGACATCTTTGTTATGCTGCATATATAGAATTACTCCTTACGTCCCCCGATTAAGTTTTCACTTTCCTGTTTGGACATTCCCTAAATTAAGTTCACACTTCAATACTATCCTTATTTGGCAAATTATCTATATCAAAACAGTGCAAAACAATGTCAAACAGTGTTTAAACAGTGCAAAACAGTGCACTCTACAATAAAGTAAAAATTTTTCTTAATATGTGTGAAGTCAAACCAGGAACTTAATTGGGGAACAGAGGGAGTATTATTTTTTTTGTAGGCTTTGACATTTTTTAGGTTAACACAATACTCTATCAAGTTGGAGGTTATCATAAGGACATCAGGGCTAGTCACACACATAACACATTGCCTTTAAATCATGGTTACACTAAGAGAAAATATTAGGGTGAAATGGTAAAAAGAAATTTCAAATATATTTTTACCATAAATGTTCACTGCCATCGTGTAAAAATACACGATGTAGAAGTTATCTTTTTATTACACGATGAGCTACTTGCTTGAGCAAAGAGAATTACTAAATATAAAATTATTAATAATAAATAAAAGATGTAGAAGTTATAGCTAACCATTGAAGTACATTTTAGTATTTTTTTCATTTGTAATTCATTTTTAACAAAAAGAATTATTAAAAATTCATGATTTTTTATTATGTTTCATTTGACACCAATATTACATATGTAAAAATAAAAAGAATTTGAATATAGGATAAATGGAGGTTTTTATACTCAAAACTTTTTTAAATTTATCTAATCTTTAAAATTAAGATCGCACAATTATATATCGTAATTTCATGCTGCAATTAGGGAACATTTTATTTATTGCCTAAAAGTGTCAATAAAGTCATATTGAGTTCTAAAGCATTTATTTAAAAACAACAACTCAATTTGAATCAACAAAACAATTCATTTAAGACATTCTTGAAAATCAGAAAACATAAAGGGTTTATTTGGCACAATTAGCTGAAAAGATACTTGTATAATATTTTTAGTAACAGTTAACTTTTAGTGACTGAAAAACTTTAAAAGGAAAGGGTGATAGCTGTTTGGTAAAAAACTGGTTCTTTGATTTAATCATGTCTGATATTCAAGTTGTTAAAACTATTTAATGCTAAAAGTTACAGACTTTTTTCATGTGCTACTTCATGTAACATCTCAGAAAAGATCTTTTATTTTTATAAAAACTTTTAAAATTTGTAATGCCAAATGTACAAGTAAAAGCTTTTATTGATTGACTAACGAAGGATTAAAAAAATTACTTGGTGACTTTGTTTAATTTCTTCCTTTCAGTATTTTATTATTTGGGCTTTTTCCGTTTCTGGTTTGTCTTTCGGTATAGTATTTAATTTGAACTATATATGATACTTCTTCTGTTTTTTAGTTGCAACATTCACTTTTTGACGTTTGCCAACACACAACTTTGACCACTATTATATTTAATTCTGTATTTGTAAAAAGTACGAGTAATTAAAAATCAGATTATGAAACATAGTAATGAGGCAAATTCAAAAATATTTTTCAAAAAACATAACTCACACACAATAATAAATAAAATGTAGTCAAAATAGAGTATACATATATAAATTCCAATGTTGCAACTAATGCGATACGGATGATAGTATATTGTACTCCGTAAAGTTATGAATTCTTCGAATTTCCTTCTTGAAAAATACTACAAGTATCCGTTCAGAACTTTAAATTCACTTTTTCATTATATTGTCTGAATATTATTTATAACTTTTTATAGTTGAATATGATGATAATTGAATTGGTGGTGAGTGGTGACTAAGCTATAGTTTTACTTGCATGGTTTTCATCATAAGATTAAGTTTCTCCCCAAATGGTCAATAAATTAAAGAGTTTTTTAAAAGATACTCCGTATTACTTAATGAATTTTATTTATAAAAGTATGACTAATATAATTACTACTACCATAATATAGTCTTGTAGTCACCCAAGTGTAAAACTTGAATATAAAATATTATAACTAATTAAGTTAATATTATAGTACTATATTTAGGATTGACATTTTTGGTAAACAACATTTATTTTATTCACATATATGTAAATATTTCTAAATTGCTTATTTGAAGTCAGATCCCCTACTTGTCACCGAAAAAGGATTGTCTACAATGTTGGACCAATTGAAGAGAGCATGTGTCCCAGTAAATCAGTAAGACAGTAATCATCTAATCACTTAATCAGAATATAGTTTCACTAAAAAACTGGTCATTAGACAATTTTTCTCCGAATCAGTAACAACTTTTTTTTCATATTCTTTAGTGATCAAGTTGGAAAAAAAAGAAGAAGTTTAATAACCATATCTGCAAGCAAAGTATATTTTAAAGACTGTAATTTGGACACCACTAACACGTTTTAATTGGTCTAACATTACTCTTAAGCTTTGAGTTGTCAGTAAGATTTTATCTGGTTCATATTACACAATACTCATGCAGTTATAATTTATCACAATGAGAAAAAAACTTTCTTTTTAAATTAATTTATAAGAATTAAATCTTTTAATTCTCCTTTTTATTCTTGTTATCAATTAATGTAAACCAAAAACTTGAAACAAGAATGAAACTTAGCTAGGCAAGCACTAACATCTTATGTAGCTTTCATTGGATAATGATGATGATGATCATCATCATCATTTTCAATTACTAGTATTATTACGACCAGAGAAGGTTGATTTGTTTTAAATATTACTGAAAAATATATATGAACGAAAATGTGAGTAAAGCTAGCAACTGTGAGTAGTGAGTACTATATCATCATGATGGTCCTTGATTAGGGACAGGAGCGGATCTGCTTTGTTCAGGAGTGTTCATGTGAACAACCAAAATTTTAAAAATACAACACAAAAATACATGGATAAAACTCAATAATCGACTAAGGTCACATCGACACTCGAGGCCGATCGAACCCGATTATCAGATCAATCTAATGAAAAAGCTCTAAACCTGGTATCGAGGCAGAGCTCAAGGTCAAACCCGATCCCCAGATCAATGAAGATTGAGCTTAAAGAATGATGTTGGGGCCGAACTCGCCATGAAGTTCGTGCCCCTTGTAGTATATACAAATATACTTCATCATATCCCAATCAGTTGATCATCACAATGACATTAAATTGAATGCGGTCATCGCCAGTAATGCTACTAGTATATTCCAAGTGTAAAAAGCCACACTTTTATCCAATACCTTCATTTTGGTTGTATATTCCTTATTATTCCATAAAATACTTATTTTTGTTATAATTAAAATATTATAACTCTCACAAACAAATAACAGCTGTTTTGTGGGGTGAAATCCTACGACTCTACTCCGTATTAAATTATTAGAATACGACGTGCCGCACAGTTTTTTGGTTCCTTAAGCAGTATCTAAGCAATTTAGTCAACGCCAGTAATTAAAGAAAACAAATCAGTCCAAGCTTGGATTATTGCATGGTTCATGCATTATCGATATACGGACTAAAAACTAACTGCAAATATTGTCATGTTTTGTCCACATAGTGACAGAGCTCATCAGTATGTACTGCCCCTATAACAATACTGAATGTTGTAGTTTTGCGGAGTAATTAAATGAATACAAAAATTTTGAAGAACAAAAACAAAACTAATTAAATGAAAGTAGATTATTTGGGTGTTACAGCCGGGCAGGTCAAATCAAGTATTGGTCTCTCATTTTCCGAATAGCTGTTCAATGCCATGTGACATTTGTACATTAATGTATTGTGGAGTGATTGAAAAATAATGTTTATGCATTGTCAACTTAAATAATAGAGCTTCAAAAGTAGAGACACCGTTCTATGTGGATAAAATTTGAGGTATATATGGCTAGAAAAAGTAGCGGTACTATTAAAAATAAGTGTAGCAAAGTATGTCTCATCTAATCATCCTTCAATTCATATACTCCGTATTATCACTAAGTAGAAATTTCTTTCATACGGAGTATTATATATATACCCAGGCTATAAGGCTAGATACCCATCGATTATTTTTCTTATTATTACACAATTTAGAATGACCTCTAAAATTAATGTTCGTTAATACCAATGAAGGAAAAAATTGGGATCTTGTTGATCGTACAAAATTGAAATGGGTCAAATAAAAATACAGATCAAGATCCTCTGATGCACGGCAGAGTCCCTTGCATGCGCAGCAAACGGCTTGCAGGCAGCGACGAGAACGGCGTCGAGATCGGCGAAAGAGTGGATCCCAAGATCACCGATCGTTGAATTTTCGATCAGATGACTGTGAATAAGCAAGACACTCTACCTCTAAAGCAAGGCAGAGGCTATGGATTCATATATAAAAAAATATATAGAGTGATGCTTGACTCAAATGAGACTATATATGTACACTACCTACATACTCTGTAGGTAAGAAGATAAGAGATACGTAATAAAATACAAACACCTCCTAATTTACAAACTAATAGCATAAAATTAATTATCTTGATCATCTTTTAAATTGATATAAAGGGTGGAATCGTACTACGGTAACATTTTGGTAGTAAAATAAAATTTTCAGTGACTGAAAAGATCTTAAAAAGAAAGTGTTAAGCTATTTGATAAAAATTTGACCGTTAGATTTAGTTCTGTTTAGTATAACAAGCTCTTGTGACTAATTAATCCTAACAGATACAGGCTTTCTCAAAGAAAATCTTTGATTTTGAGAAAAGTTTTAATAATTGTCATGTGCTTATTACTTTAAACATGAAAACTCAAGCGACGAGGGGGAGTATGTGCTTATTACTTTAAACGAACACTGAAGACGTAAACATAAAAGATGAGCTCCTTCTCCAAAGTAGGCCATGCCAGGAAGAAGAAAGCTGAAAAGAAATGAAGTTTCATTGTCAAGTAGGAAAGAAGTGCGTAAATATTTTCTTCAAATAGAATTTTTATTTTCATTTGGAGTTGTGAAATGATCATAATTCCGTCATCAGAAAGCCCAGATCAGAGGAACAAACCCCAAATACTCTTTCCTTTCTCGATGAAAAATCCCAAAAATTGATCGAAGGTCCAAATTACACGAAATGCCCGTTTTCCCCCCTTAAACCGGGTTGTCAGCGCCACCGGAGGATTCGGGTAATCCAAATCGGAATTCTCGACGACCTTATTGGTTCCCTACTTCCCTTCTTTCCTGTATCGATCGACGCGCCAACCAAGCACGTGAAACTCGTCACCGCGCGTCATTTGGTACGTACAAGACAAATTACTTAACGCAAATAGTCAAAACAGCCACGTAATATCCCAAACGTTCCGCTTCCGCGCTTCGAGCTTCTGTTTTTCTTTTCTTTTCTTACTTTGGAATTGAATTGAATTTTTTAATTTTTCAAACGCACCTCGTCATAATTTTATGTGCCGTACAACTTGGTTATCAAATTTTAATTTTAGTTTGGGTGATTGCGATTTGAATAGGAAATGAGTAAATTGATATAAGACACTGAGACATATTACATTGTCAAAAGAGGAAATAATCAAATGCGGAGTAACACAATTGTTTTGGGACATCAAAGAAAGAAAAGAAAAAAGACATTTGTTCTGATGGGGATTGTAAATTTGTAAGTCTTATTTTGGGACAATTATTTTGATATCTAGTTTCATACTAAATTATTTTGATATCTATTTTGTTCTTTTAGATTAAAGTTAAAGGTCATACCATTAACTTTAATCTAAGTGTCTCATGCACATTTTTATTTCAACACATTTAGCCAATTTAATTATTCTAATATGGGATAATTTCAATATTAACAAACACGTACACCTCAAACAGAATAATTTAAAGGAAAAAATGTAGTAATAAACTAAATACTGCGGGGATGAGTATAATACCATTACGATTTACGGGTAACACACTAAGGATGTTTTTACTTGGACTGTAATTTGCTGGTCTGGTCTGGTCTGGTCTGATCTGGTCTGGTCTGGTCTGAACTGGTCTGGTCTGGTCTGGTAAGGTCTGGTTTCTTTGTATTTTTATAACTATCCAAGTCTGCTCTGGTCTGGTCTGGTCTGAACTGGTCTGGTCTGGTCTGGACTGGTCTGGTCTGGTCTGGTCTGGGACAAATTACAGTCCAAGTAAAAACATCCTAACACATAGTTCAATGATATTTTTAAATTTAAAGAACACATTCGTTTACTTTTTTATATGAGCTCTTCCACAGTTCTACTATAATTATCTCGTGCTACTGTCCAACGTCCCACTAAATTTGTCTAATGACATTATTATCTCATAATACATACTTCCTCCGTTCTTAAATAAATGCAATAATAAACATTTCACACTTGTCGAGACACTACTTTGACCATTAATATATATAATTTTGTATTACTGAAAAAATTAAAAAAAAATAGATTTTGAAAATTTACAATGAGACAAATTTAACAATATTATTTTCATAAAAAAATATGAATACTGTAATAAATAAAATGTAGTCAAAGTAGAACATGTGAATAGTGTAAATTTTCATATGTTGCATTTATTAGAGAACGGAGGTAGTAAAATTGTAATTTTTGTATTTAAGAAATTAAATACAAAAAATAACTATATTTTCATAATAATAATCCCACTTCTTTAAGATCGATCATAGTAGTACATTTTAGCAACTGTATTGTGAGACTGATTGATTCACAATCAATAGCCACGAAACCGTTAATAAAAGTCGATTTTGTTCACCCTCTCGATAAAGGGTGATCATCACCCCATCCTTCAATTCCGTAGTTTGTCATGTAAGATTTACAATTTTTTCCAAATTGTTATCATATTTTTATATAAGGTCTAAATTTTATAAAAAAGTATATCAATTGAACATTGTTTTATGATCTTTCAAATGGTATCAATATTGCACATAAATTAAAATATTTTACATATTTTTTCTAAATGGATTTTTTCAACTGATTTTCTTAAATACTCCCTCTGTTTCTAAAAGAACCTCACACTTTTCTTTTTTGGATGTGCCAAAATAAAAGTCACACTTCCCTTATTTCCTTATTTGGCAAAGAAATCTACATCCAAACAGTGCCAAACAGTGCCAAACAGTGTACAACCAGTGCCAAACAGTGTCTAAACAGTGCTTTCTACAGTAAAGTCAATTTATTTCCTTAATAATCGTGAAGTCAAACCGTGACTGATGGACAGTCTACCCGGGGGGTACCTTATCCGAGGGGTTATTGCGGGAATAACTAGAGAGAAGTCAGAGCAAATAGGAGGAGAGAGAGTCGATTTATTAAATGAACTCGAGATGTGGAGTTGTGTGTAGATGATGTTTTACAAGGAGAAATGGGCTGCTATTTATAGCAGCAATAAATGCGATGCGAGGACACGTGTCAGTAATCCAACGGCCGAAGGGTCACATCAACCGGTTGGCACCGGCAGTGGTACGTTCACCGCATTGAATGCGGTTGGCGGATGTGACGTGGCTTTAAATGCGGTGGTTGGCTGTCTCCAAAAGGAATCTTCGATGATTGAGAGTGTCTGGCCGAAGGCGCCTTGTGTTGCCGAGGGCTCCATGTAGCCAAGGATCCCTGTGTAGCCGAAGGATCCATGTGGCAAGGACCCTCGTGTGGCCGAAGGCTTGGTTCAGCCGAAGGCTTTTCTGATGCCGAGGGCATGAAAATGCCGAAGGCTTATGTTTTCGCCCGTTTTCTCCCAGCAGTTTCTTATGTCAAAGGGGCTGTCCTGTGAGTTTTGGAGCCTTCGGCGAAGGAGGCCGAAGGCACCCCCAGTGTGTATTCTGGGCTACTTTGAGGCTCGGGCCGTTGCATTTGGGCCTGAGTTGTTCTCTGGGCTCAATGGACTTGTGTAGGAGAAGTAGGAGTCTATGGGCCGGGGGTTCCTGGACCATATACTCCATCAGGAGTCCCTCACTCCTTTTGCCAAAAGGTACTTGAGGGAAAAGGAGTAGTTGTGTTGATTCTTCTGGAGGCTTCATCGTTTGGTTGGGCGCCCTTGCTTGAGAACTTGCCTTCTGCTTATCGCCGAAGGCTTCCCTCAGTCCCTCACATGTCGAGGGTTTTCTGAGGGAAGTATAACACCTGTATGACTGCCGAAGGCTCTCCTCAGTCCCCCACATGTCGAGGGTTTCCTGAGGAAGAGTATGGATGTGTTGCCCGTATGTGTTGTTATGAGGGCTGCTTCATTTCCGCAAGTGACTTGGTGAAAACTTGTGATATCCTGCCTTTGCCGAAGGGGTTCCACTTTGGTGTTTGTCCGGAGGCTGCATGCGTCAATTGTAAATTGTTTGTATGAAGAAATTTTCCGTTCTGTATGATTCCCGAGGGGTATACCCCAGTCCCCCACTCCTTTAGGCCGAAGGCAAGTTCGGGCTGAAGGAGTTATGATGTGTTGATGCGAACCCGAGGGGTGATAATACTGACAAGTCGGGGGCTTACGCTGCCGCAAGCTCGAAGGCGTTTGATGAAATTTGCTGGCAGAAGGGTGTGGTGAGTGATAGCCGGAGGCTACCATTCGAAGGCACCCCAGTTTTGCCGAAATATAGTCGTTGTAATATAGCCGTTGGAAGAGGGTTCCACGTGGCGCACGGTCGTTGGCAGACGGGGGGCGGGTGCCATCCATTGGGTGAACCGGCGGCCCATAATGATGGCCTTTTTAAAACCGAGGCCCAGTTCTCGAGGCTGAAAGCCTATAAATACCCCAAGCCCGAATTCATATCCTTTGCGCGTTTTAGAATTGAAGCGAAGCTCTGCCAAAATTTCTAGAGAGAGAGAGCCTTTTCGTCGATCAGACTTAAGTTTTACTTCCGCCCTGAGGTCAGTTCTTCACTTGTTCTTGAGTTCCTTAGTAGATTTTGCTCTTTCCTTCTTTGATTAAGTGTTAAGGCAACCTTTAGAGCTTTCAGTTAGGACCTCTTCTTTACCCATCGCTATGTCTTCCGCGAGCGATTCCCAGAACCTCTCGAGGGATCCCTCGGTTGTAGCGGAGAGCATTTCCGACACGGAGTCATCGAGCGAGCCGTCCCCGTCCAATAATGATCTTGCCGTGGCCGAGGAGGTACAAAGCAACCTCCGGGTGGAGTTAGAGGCTGAAGAGTTTGAGCAAGTTGCCGCGGACGAGGAAATGGCCCTCGCACTCCAAGTGGCTGAGGAAGAGGAGGAGAGGGAGCGGCAGAAGGTGACTGTAGCTGTCTTGCCCCTCCGTGGTTCAGGGGAGACGAGTACCTCCCGGCCTTTAGACCCGGATCCTCTGAGTGTAGCCCTCGGGAAAAAGAAGAAGTCAAAAGCTCCTCAGAAGAAGAAGCAACCTGCAGCGGATTGTGGGAAACCCGTGGGCATACCCGAGGGGCACTCATGGTTGAACACCGCCGCCCTCGCGCTGAAGTCGAGGGCTTACCGGGCCGAGTGTTACGTCACCCAGTTGCATGTGGGCCCTTCGGCCACCGTGATTGAACCGGGGCCTAACGACCTCCTCTCCCAGGCTCCCGAAGGATGCTTTGCCGTACATGTGCTGTCAGTCTCAATGGGCCTCCGGTTTCCGTTGCACCCATTTCTCCTTGAATACCTTAGGTTCGTAGGCTTAGCCCCCTATCAACTTACCCCAAACAGCCACTCCTACATTACCGGCTTTCTGCAACTCTGCCGGTCCCGGGGGGTGACCGCTACTCTGGACTTATTTTTTCAAAGCTTCAATCTGTGCCGGGGGGGGCATACCAATTCTGAGGGCTTCGCAAACCTGCAGCAACTCGCCCCCTGGAGACTTTTCGACGATGTGCCCTCGTCTCACAAGGGATGGAAAGACCGATTCTGCTACATCAAGATGGCTGAAAACCCATTCCCGAGGGAGCTGCGCAATCACTTCAGGCGGCACCCGAAGGTGGGCAATGCCGCACTTCAGAAGGATGGGAAGAAGATCGCCGCCTTGCTGCCGGGGGCCACAAAGCATGTGACCATCAAGGACTCCACCCTCCCAGAGGACTTGCTGGCCTTAGGCTTTCGACGGTACCGATTTCTGGGCGAGAGAGACGAACAGTACCCCCGTTTTTGAAAGAGCTTTCGGTAGCACTGGAGGTAGTTACCGGAGGGTCTGCTTTATTTTACTTAGGACTTTCGCATACCCTTATTTCTCCCCCCCCCCCCCCCCCGTTGTTGAACCCCTCGGTCTGACCTCATTGTTGTTTTGCAGGTGTTAGCATGGATGTCTCTAACTTCGCCGCTTTGAAAAAGAAGTTGGCCAAAGAGCCAAAAAAGAAGAAGGAGGCGGGGGGTCAGAAACCCGTCGATGATTTCTTCCAGAAGGGTGGGGCATCTCAGGTCCCGGAGGGGGAGGGACCCTCCAAAACAGTTGATACCGGTGCTGGTGCCGAGGGCTCCAAGGGGGAGGAGCTCAAGAGAAAGAACTCCGGGAAGGGTGTCGCCCCCCCCGGAGAACAAGAAGCAGAAGAAGGGGGCCCCGGGGAGGAAGGATGTCCCCATTTTGATAGTTGAGGAGCAGCCCTCCTTGAATCCTTCTGCGATTACCCCTCCTCGATCTCCTCCATCCCCCATAGACGAGGGGATCCGCCCGGCGGAGATCATCCAGTTCCCCGTCAAGTCGGGGACCTCAGTTATGCACGGAACCCTTCACCCCGTCGTCTTCATGAGGGGGGTGATGGCCCCGAAGGATAGGTCAGTGTTGGCCCGCCTTGGGGACGACATCCTCGACTATAAAGTCGCGAGCTACAGCACTATGGTGAGTTGTGTTCCCCCTTCTCTTTCCCTTATTTTTTGATGATAACTCCCGATGGCTCATTCTGATGTTATATTTTTGTCTATGTGCGTTCATTTGCAGGCTGCCCTGGCTGCTTCCGAGCAGGCCCAAAGGGTCGAGCAACTGAGGATCGCAAAGTGCCAGGCGGACGAGGCTCTGAAGAAAGCCGACGAGGAGAGGGTTGCCCTTCGGCAGAGGATTGCTGATGCGGAGACAGCCCTTCGTCTGGAGAGGGAGGCCATGGAGCAAAGGCTAAAAGATGCCGAAGCTAAAGGGAAGGCCGCCGCCGAGGAAGCCGCCGCTGCCATTGCCAGGACCGTTGCCGAGGCTGCCGAGAATGATAAGGCTGAAGCGGTGGCTGACGCCGGAAAGAAAGCGGTTGAGGCTTTTCTTGCCGAGGGCTGGGCGGCATTGGACCACGAGGGGTGGGTGGCCTCCGTGGTGGAGCAGAAGGTTGACTCTTGGGTGAGAGGCCCCGGTGCTGAATGGCTTGCCCGAAAGGGTAAAGACTATTATGACGGTGGCAAATTCTTCACCCAGAAGATGATCTACCGGAGGCTGGCCCGGCACTTAAAAATCGATCCGAAGGAGTTTGATCCGGCAGCTTACGGCCTCCCCCCCTTGCAGCCAGATGTCCGGGTTCCTCTGCCCGAAGGCGAAGAGAGGCCGGATCTTGAGGACTCCGAGCTTATGGGCAAAGGCGACAATGAAGAAGCCGAAGACGATGCGGCCTCAAAGCCGAAGGAAGATGTCGCCAAAGAGGCAGAGGCTTAAAATTTTTCTATATGTAAACATTTGTAATAGTAGGTTTCGGCTTCGGCCATGTACGCGGGAATTTGTTTTGCATTTTGATACTCCCTGATGAATGAACGTGATGTGCCTTCGGGCCTTTTTATGAATGAATGCCTTGACTCCTTATTTATGCTTTCGCCTTACTTCCTTTTGTTTGTATGCTCTCCCCTCTTTGAATGAATGCATGTGTTCCCGGAGGTCACAAGTTTGTGGACTTAGAAAATTTTTCTAAGTAAACTTGATTAGGACCCTTCGGATGTAGAGTAGAATCATCGGGGGGTTTGTGATTGTGGACTTAGAAAATTTTCTAAGTAAGAACTTTTGTCGTGTGCCTCCGGTCGTAGTGTAGAATCAGCCCCCTTCGGATGTTCGTAGTAGTGAGGCCGAGGGATAAAATGAATTAGACTTAGGAATTCCACTAGGAGAAATTGCATCCTATGCCCCCGGAAATGCTGGGCCTCAGATTAGCAGTGCAGTGCACGGCCGCGAGCCGAAGGGTCTGCATCTGTGGACTTAGTCAAATTTACACAAAATTCCAATAGTTGTCGTGGTGAACCTTCGAGCGTGGGGATTGCCTGAGCCCCCGGTGTACATGATTGCCGAGGGGTTCGAGATTATGGACTCGGTAAAATTGTGAGACTTTGTCTCCAACAGATCTTGTGAGTGGCCCCCGGTTTGGTGAATGTTTTCCGAAGGATGCCGATACGTGGACTTAGAAATTTTTTCATCGTTCAATGAGTTGGGTGGCATTCTGCCTTCGGCATGAATCCTCCGGTTTGTGTAGATATAGGTTTAGCCTGCCTTAGAACTTTGTGGAGCCTTCGGCATGTCACATAGTTGACTTTGATCCAGCCGAATTTCGGCCTTAGCCAAATTTAGGTGAAGTTTTGCTTAGTGAGCATTCTTCTTGGGCCTCTGGTGGAAATCTTGTACTCCAAGGTTTCATGTAGTGAACCCTTCGGATATGCAGCCGGATGACTTGTTGTTGCGAGATTTTCTTGTGCCTTTGCAGGAGCCTTCGGGAATGTATGTCCGAAGTGTTGAGCCTCCGGGGAGAGTAGTATCCGGGGAGTTCCTTCCCCCCTACACATCTTTTTTTTTTTTAGATGGTGTAGGAGAGGCATCTAGAAACTTGGTGTCTAGGAAAGGCTTGGCCTATATGGGAGGCAACGGAACAAACCGTTGGCTCCCCCTTCGGGAATGACCTTCCGATATCCCGAAGGGTTTGAGGGTCGTTTCCTCGGCCCGAGACATCGTCTGTTGCCTGCTTCCCCTTGGGAGATAGCACGGAAAGCGCCTCGGTTTTGAAAGTCGTCCCCTCAGCCCGAGACATGGTCTGTTGCCTGCTTCCCCTTGGGGGATAGCGCGGGGAGCGTTTCGTTTGTGGAAGTCGAATCCTGGGCCCGTGACATGGTCCGTTGCCTGCCTCCCCTTGGGGGATGGCGCGGAAAGCGTTCCTGGGAAGGGTTTTATTTGTGTGTGGGACACAAATAGCCGGGGGCACTTGGTACCAGCCGGCGCCGAGGGGTATTGCACCCCCCGGTTTTTTTTTTTTTTTTTTTTTTATGAGAGTATGTAAAAGTATGCATAATGTATGCATGGTTGCGTCCTCGTGGGGTACGGCTTAGTGAGAAAACACTTGGTGTTTTCAAAGAGTGATGGGGGTGACCCATACACTTGGTACTTGGTACCTAAATTGTTGTTCCCCCTCATGAGAGGAAGGGGCCTTGGGCCTATTTTGGCGAAGAAATGAGGGCTTGGCCACTCATGTGTAGGAGAGAAGGGGGCTTGGGCCGCTTGTACAATATGTAGGTGATGAAGGCTTGGCCTTGTGATTATTCTTCAAAAACAGATGGGGCCTTGGGCCATTGATATTTACACGTGCTGAGGATGAGGGCTCGGCCGCTCATGTTTTATTGATAGAATTTGACAAGGTGGTGCACATTCCAATGTCTAGGGACCTCTGTCCCATTGGGTCGTTTAAGCTTGTATGTCCCTGGTTTGATGATGGCTGAGATGACGTAGGGGCCTTCAAACTTGGGCGCCATCTTTCCTCCTTCGACGGGTAGACTGGCCTCCCTTCGTCGGAGGACGTAGTCTCCCACCTGGAATTCCCGGGAGCGGACCTTGGCGTCGATGTAGCCTTTGACTTGTCTCCTATAGTTTTCGGCCCTGAGGAAAGCTTGCTCTCGACGTTCTGAGATGAGATGAAGGTCGAGTGCCATGTTGGCGTCGTTGGCCTCGGGCTCATATTGCTCAACCCTTCGGGTGGGAAGAGTCACTTCTGTTGGAGCCTTAGCCTCGAAGCCATAGCATAGGGAGAAGGGTGTTTCGCCTGTTGCGCGCCGAGGGGTGGTGCGGTAGGCCCATAAGATGTTGTGTAGCTCTTCTACCCAGCCTCCCCCTTCGGCTTCCAGCTTCTTCTTCAACCCTTCAAGTAGGGTTCGGTTGGCGTTCTCTACTTGCCCGTTGCCTTGGGGGTAGGCAACGGATGAAAAGGTGTGTTTGATGCCCCACGCCTCCAGGAGGGCACAGAAGGGGGCTGCCTCGAATTGAGTCCCGTTGTCAGAGATGATTTGTTGGGGGACGCCAAACCTCGTGAGAATATTTTTGAGAACAAAGTGGCGGCACCGGGCTTCAGTGATGCTGGCGAGGGGCTCGGCCTCTACCCATTTGGTGAAGTAGTCAATGGCCACAATGATATATCTGTTGTTGGAGGTACCCCTCGGCAGAGGGCCCACTAAGTCAATCCCCCATCTGGAGAAGGGTATAGCGGTGCTGATGGGAGCATAGTTGACCGCTGGTCTGCCAGGGGCCTTCTGAAAGTGTTGGCAAGCGGTGCACCTTCGGGCTATATCAGCACAATCTCTAGCCATCGTGGGCCAGAAGTAGCCCTGAACTATGAGCCTTCGGGACATGGAGAAGGGTCCCTGGTGAGCTGAGCAAGTGCCACTGTGCACTTCCTCCATGGCGACTTCGGCCTCATCTTGATGAAGGCACCGAAGGAGGGTGCCGTTGTAAGATCTCTTGTAGAGCCTCCCATCCTCGAGGGTGTAGCTGAGAGCCCTCAGCTTTGCTAATTTCGCGCGGGCTTCGTCTTGGGGCAGTTGCCCTGTGCTGATGAAGGTGATGATGTCGGAGATCCAATCCTCCGGCCTTAGGTGGATGTTCATGACGGGGCTCGCGTGGATGCTTGAGAGGCTAAGTTCCTCAATTCTTGCAATTTTTGAGAGGTGTTCGGGGGATTCATCCGAAAGCTTGGATAGAATGTCGGCCTCGGAGTTTTGAGCCCTCGGTATTTGGGTGAGAGAATGTGCCTCAAACACCTTGAGCAACTCCTTAGCCGCTTCTTTGTATTGTTTCATCCTCCCTTCTTTGGCTTCGTACTCCCCGGAAATATGACCCACGACGAGCTTGGAGTCACACTTGACGTGGATCATCCTAGCCCTCAGATTTGCTGCCAGCCGAAGGTCGCAGAGGAGGGCTTCGTATTCGGCCTCGTTGTTGGAGACTTTGAAGGAGAAGCGAATGGCATAGTAGGCGCGGAAGCCCTCGGGTGTGATCAGAACTACTCCCCCTCCGCATGCTTTGGTGGCTGAGGAGCCATCGGTGTAGAGGGTCCACCATTCGTCAAGGGGTGCCGAAGGCTCCTCGTCAGTTGCTGATCTCGCGGTGCATTCCGTTACGAAGTCCGCCAGGGCTTGGCCCTTAATGGCAGGCCTCGGACGGATATCTATGTTGTACTGACTGAGGAAGATGGCCCATTTCACCATTCGGGAGGAACTTGTGGGGCTTCTCATGAGGGCGCCGAGGGGTTGATGAGTGAGCACTTGGACCGGATGAGCTTGAAAGTAGTGGCCAAGCTTCTTGACGGTCCAAACGATGGCTAGCACCGTCTTCTCGACGGGAGAATACCTGAGTTCGGCCTCCCGGAGGGTCTTGCTGACGTAGAAGATGGCGTGTTGGACGCCGTCCTCCTCTCGGATCAGCACCGAGCTGATAGCCGAAGGGCTAACACCAAGATATAAGTATAAAGTCTCCCCCACCTTTGGTTTGGAGAGCACCGGGGGGGAAGAGAGGTACTTTTTAAGTTCGTTGAAGGCCTCTTGACACTCAGATGTCCATTGGAAGCCAGCTGTCTTCCTCATGATTTGGAAGAAGGGGAGGGCCCTCTCGGCTGACTTAGAGAGGAATCGGTTGAGGGCCGCCAGGCGACCCGTCAACCGTTGAACTTCTTTGACGTTGCGCGGAGGCTCCATATTGATGATGGCCTGAATTTTCTCGGGGTTGGCCTCGATACCCCTTCGGCTTACCATATACCCCAAGAATTTTCCACCTTGTACGCCGAAGGTGCATTTCTTTGGATTCAACCGGAGGTTGAATTTTTGCATGATGGCAAAGATTTCCCGAAGTCGTCGGCGTGAGTGTCTGCCTTCTTGCTTTTGACGATCATGTCGTCAACGTAAGCTTCCATGGTGCGTCCTAGGACAGCTTGAAAAACCCTAGCCACCATGCGTGTGTAGGTGGCGCCTGAATTTTTTAGACCGAAGGCCATCACAAGATAGCAGAAGATGCCTTCGAGTGTCATGAAGGCGGTTTTTTTCAGCGTCTTCCTCATGCATGTAGATTTGATGATATCCGCGGAACGCGTCGAGGAATGACATAATCTCGCATCCCGCGGTCTCATCCACAAGTTGATCGATGTTCGGCAGAGGGAAGGGGTCCATAGGGCACGCCTTATTCAGATCTGTGTAGTCCACGCACATGCGGAAGGTAGGAGGCTTCTGTGCGAGGACTACGTTTGCCAACCAAGAAGGGTATTTCACCTCCCTGATGTGTTTGATAGAGAGGAGCATGGCCACCTCCTTTTTCACGAATTCCCTCCTCTCTGCCGAGAGGGGTCTTCTCCGCTGTTGCACTGGTTTGGCCGAAGGGTCCACCGCAAGGCGGTGGGTGATGACCCTTCGGTCAATTCCTGGCATATCCTCCGGCCCCCATGCAAAAACAATGGAGTAGGCGCGGAGGGCTTTGGTGATGCCAGCCTTCAAGTCTTCGGGGAGCTTGGCTCCAATCTTCAGGACTCTCTCCGGCTTGGCCGGATCGAGTATCAAGTCTTCGGTCTCCTC